ATTATGTACCCGCTTAATTCATGTATAATACACACGCGGTTATTTGATAGGTAATATTTTATATTTAATTATATAATTATTATAATATATAATCGCTATTCTGCGATGTTAATGTATCACCAGTGCATGTTTGGATCACTTTCAGAACAACTAAAGTAATTAGTAATTATCTTTAATTAGACCAGTACTTGTTCGTATAATTCATACGAGTAGCTTACAGCAGAAATCAAACGGTTAATTATATGATGCAGTAAAACGATACATTAATACCATTATGACATAATAATAATGTCCCGGAGATCAGAAGACCGTTTTAATCATCTATAGATCAAAGTACCTACATAGTATTATAATCTCTAGTATATAATACCATACTATAAAGTGGACGAAATATGGCATTCATTGCGATTGAAATAAGAATGCTATGCACCTTTTACCAACTTCAGTTTACTTTTATATTCCGTATACATAACGATAACGTACACGTACCAGCTGCTGATGCATGGCTACTTCCGTAACCGTAGGGCTTAAAAGTTAGAACTGTTCGAAGTATTTACATTTACTAGTCTTATAACCTCGAGTATAACTCAAAACGTCGAAAAGCTTAGTATGTTACCTGCATTATAACTTACAAGTATAAGTACTGGCGTATGTGGTCGTGGTTAATTTTATAGAAAAATTGAATAGCCATTGCACATTATAATAATACAATATTAATTATCAACACGAATWTATTGTCAGTAATTTGTCACTAAATTTATATAGGTACACCCGCACATGTCTCATGGATAAAATAACTTTTGTACTAATCACTAGGTATTTAATCTTTCTTTTTTTAATARCTATTTATCGGAATCATAATATTTTTAAATAACGAATTTGTAAATCAAATGTTTAGACAAATATTGATGGTAAAAACGTTTTTTAASTCAAGTATAGTTTGTTTCTACATTTTTTWAAAATATTTAAATTCTTTAGGAGTAAATCAATTTAAAATYTAATTACTTTTTTCAAATCAATATTTTTAGCATAACCTGACATAATTCTACATAAGTATATATTTTATTAAGTTATATTTTCCTTATAATATTCATAATTTTTGTTCGTTTAACTATAATACCTATCATTTTCTTCTTCTTATATTTCGGTTACATCTGTTATATAATATAAACTATACAATCATTTTGGTAAAAACTGCATATTATAATTTATTTACATATATTTTGTTCATATTTCTTATGTATATTATAAGATATTTACTTTAGAAGTTACTCGGATTAACTATTGAAATTTGTTCGTATATATAAATAAATACATGGCTTTATTTTGCTCTAATCCGTCATAACTTATAAAGTCAAATTAAAATTCTAAAACAAAAATTAGTTAGGTTATATTTAGAAGATTTTCTGAGTGATTTATTATATTCCTAATTTGAATTTTTATATGACTCGCGCAAAGACTAAAATAAGTTGCCTTTCATATATATGTACCTCCACAGTAAATTGTCTCACAAATAATATGCACACACGTGCAATACAACTACACACTATACACAATATGTTGTATACCTACGCATCGTCGCTATTCAAATTTCAAGTTATTGCATTCCTAATTTTATCGTTTCATCGTTTTTAAATATATTCCATAGGTTTCAATCAATTTTGAACATTTTACGACGAAATATCTCTCCTGTRTACAGGAATTTTGTGTGCTATACTATGTGTATAATATTAACGAATACCTACCATATTACCATATGCCCTGCAATGCCATGCTAGAATCCCATAGCAATTATATTTGGCGCCCTTTTTCTACATTCATCATATAGACAAAAATCGCTTGTAGTTCTTTATTGCTCCTAAAATTTGTGAATTGATGAGAGTGCTTTTATTCCCCTCCCCCCCCCCTTAGACGACCATGAGTATTCCGCGTTTT